TGCTTCAGTTTCTCAGTGGACACCATCTGGGTGTCCTTTAGTTGAATTCAGTTCTGACTTGAAGACTTGGAAGAAGAGACAGATCCTACAGGCAGAAGGCTCAGTCTTAAAGGACTTCCATCCTCCTCTTCTCAGGTCAGTATCAATTCCCAGATTGTTTTACCTGTGTTTCTGACCAACTGGCTATAAATCAGAGTGCCCACAAACTGTCTCCTTAGATTTAATTAATTTGGTAGAGCAGCTTACAAAACTCAGGGCAACACCTGGGCTCATTGGTTATGATAAAGGATATTACAGTGAAGGATGTGCAGATGAAGTGATTCTTAGTTGTGGTGAGGTGTGGGGGAGGTGTGGGGCTCCATGCCCATGCCCTCTCTAGGACAACCATCCACTGGGAACCTCCAGGCATCCACAAGATCTCAGAGCATGCCGTATGGTGCCAGATGAACTCAGGGCCTCACACTCTCATTTGGCTTTCTTCCTCATGGCTGGCACTCTATCACTTAAGCCATGCCTCCATTTTGGGATTTTGCTGGAAGAGATGGAATCTCTGAGACTTTTCTGCCCAGGTTGGCTTTGAACTTTAGGTCTCAGCCTCCTGAGTCACTATTACTGTAGGTGAGTCCAGCTGGAGTATAGGTTTGTATGGAGACTTCATTCTATAGGTAGGATTGAGATGCATGGAGATCTGATTGGACAAGAAGGGAGTGATCTCATGCTAATAGACAGGGCTGGAAAATTCAAGGCCTTGTTGTTTCTGCAGCAATTCTTACTCAGAAGGTATGGAGTAGGACCTACTTCTCACATGCAGGTCTTGTGACCTGCTTTTGGGTATAATAGGTCAGAGAGGTGTTTTTTTTTTTTTTTTAATGAATAGCAGCTGTAAGGAAGGAAGATGAAGGATTACTTTATATAACCATCCTTGGGGGAAAAGAATCCTACGTTCTGAGACCTATATGAGGGAGGAAAGAGGCCAGGAGATTAAAAGCATGTATAGCATGATCTCTACCTTTTGAATTTGGACTCAGTTCATGTTATGTCCACACCAACAAGGTGTGGCCGAAATGAAAATAGTGGTGTGGTACCTTTAAACCTAGCATTCAAGCAGACGTGCTCTCTCTTTCTCATTAACTTGTATCCCTGAGCTGTCATGTGAACAAGCCTAGGCCAGTCTGCTGGAGGATGCAAACCACCTGGAGACTTGCTCAGAGGCCAGCTAACTTGTCACCTGACAGCAGACTCATACAAGAGTAGCTGAGATCAGCTTGGATGACTTAGAGAAACTGCCCAGTATACCCACAGTCTCTTGGAAAATAACACATCACAACAATTATTCGAAGCCACTGAGTTTGGAGGCAGATTCTTAGGAGAAATAAGAGCAGCCGCCAACAATGGCATAAATCAATAATATCTTGATAGAATGGGCCTACAAGTATAGTGGTGTGCTTTTTTGCATGTTTTTTAAAAATAAATTAATTGTACAAAGGAGTTTCTTTGCAATATTTGTATAGATTCACACAATATACAATATACTTTGATCAAATTTACCTCTTTTATTACCATTTTTTTTGGGGGGAGGGGCGGTCATGGGGCTTGAATTCAGGGCCTGGGTGCTGTCCCTGAGCTCTTCTGCTCAAGGCTACTGCTCTACCACTTTGCACCACAGTTCTACTTTTGGTTTATGAGTGATTAATTGTAGATAAAAGTCTCATGGAGACTTTTCTGTCCAGGCTGGCTCTGAACTCCCATCCTCAGATCTCAGCTTCCTTAATAGCTAGTATTACAGGTGTGAGCTACCAGCACCTGGCTTCATTACTCTTTCTTAACCTCTGTCCAGCTCCCTTTAAAAATAGTTGTTAGTGGATTTTCCTATATTATTTTCATACATGAAGGTCTCTGAGGTTTAAAAAAGAGGATTTTCTCATATAACAAGAAATAAGTTCTCTCAGGGCGATATGAGGCAATATGGCCAGATGCACCAAGAAGATGGGCATCGTCTATAAATTTGGCACCAGCTATGGTGCCTCACTCCAGAAGATGGTGAAAAAATTGAAATCAGCAAGCACGCCAAGTACACCTGTTCCTACAGTGGCAAGATCAAGATGAAGAGGAGAGCTGTGGGAATCTGGCACTGTGGTTCCTGCATGAAAGCAGTGGCTGATGGATGAAAGCATCAGCTTTCATCATCAGGTTGATGGTACCTGGACTTACAACACCACTCCTGCCGTCACAGTCAAGTCTGCCATTAGAAGACTGAAGGAATCAAAAGACCAGTAAAAGCTCCACCATGAGAGATGTCCCTGGTGCACAATAAATGGGTTAATTTATATAACAACAACAACAAAGGAAATATGTAAGCTTTTTTGGAGCTGGTGCAGTTGCTCAAGGAATTTATCAAGGATGCAGACTCTTTTCTTTTTCTTTCTTTTTTTTTTGATGGGAACAAATACCATTGTGTAGAAAGTAGACTTCTTATCACTTTTCACTGGCTAGAACTCTGTCACATGGTCATACCTAGGTGCAAAGAGCCTGGGAAATTGACTTAAAAAAAAAAAGCCCAAGGTGAATTACATCCCCCAAAAGGAATAAAAATTTTGTTACAAAGCAAAAACAGGAGTATTTAGGCACCAGCAGCCTCTGCACTCTGATTTGGTGAAGGCATCTTATTTGAGGAAACAATCTGAAAGAAAAATAATCGATATATTTGGCATAGATTATGAGGTAGTACTGTACAGGGGAAAGGCATTGTTGTATGTCTCCCAGGCTGAGCTCTGCAGCTGACAACTCTTGATTTCTCCCCGCTTTACATCAACATACGGGAGAGAATGACGGGTAAACCTTTGTAGAACCTGTGGACACTGTGTAGGAAATTTACATTTGTGACAGATTCCCTTTTAGGCTTCCCAACAGAACAACGAGTTGATGTTATGTTCTCCTGGGGATAACATGCTAAAATCTCGGAGAGAACAGACCTATATCCAGGGACTGGCAGAGCTAGAATTCTAAGGAGAGGCTGAAGGCCTCCCAAAGAAGAGGTTTCTATGGCTCAACCTTTTTTTTTTGTCCAGTTGTGGGCCTGAACTCTGGGCCTGGGTACTGTCCCTCAGCTCTTCAACTGAAGGCTAGCGCTTTACCACTTGAGCCACAGCACCACTTCTGGCTTTTTCTGCTTATGTGGCACTGAGGACTCAAACCCAGGGCCTCATGCATGCAAGGCAAGCACTCTAACACTGAGCCACCTTCCCAGCCCTATGGCTCAACCTTTTTAAAAAGACAAATAGACTTATTCACTTTATTTTGAATTATAAAGCCAGTGTGTTTGGAAGTGGGCCCAGTGTTCTGTGAAGCAAAATTACTGAGAAGTTGCCTACAAATGCTGATTCCTGCACTGCCTCCCGGGAACCTGAAGCCAGAATCTAGGCCCAACACCAGAAATGTCCCACAGCGTGGGACGTGGAGGGAAGAAGCGCTGTGGAGGAAGTCTGAGGCCGCAGCTTACAAAACAACGAGCCACGATTTTAAACTTAAAATTTATTGTTCCATTTTAACATAGATTATGTATTTGTGCCTCATGAAAATTTCCTCCTCATATCAGGAAGACAAATTTTTTAAAAATAGTCTGTTTCTCCTTCCTGCCTCTTAGTTTCCTAGTGAACACACTGAATTCCATGGAAAATGTTAAGGACCCAGAGGTGTGTCATCCAAGAGATCTATCTTTCTGTTGATTAGCATAGTTTCTATAAGGCAAAGGCAGGGATTCAAACCAAAGTAAATTCTGACTAGAATCATCCAGAACTGGAAGAGGATGGCAAAGGAAATGACACTGTTTACTATGTTCCAGACACAATTCCAGACATATTGTATCATTAAAGGACCCAAGAGATGCGATTCAATTCCTTTTACTTATAAAGGGGATAGGAGTCATTCTCAGTACCTTCTGAATGATGATGAGAAATACCTTTTGAGATCAACCATCCTTTCATTTCATTTATTCATTCCATTAAAAAGAAAAAAAGGTCTCCTAAGCTTTTAACTTATGCAAGACACTATGAGAAAGAGCAGCAAAAGGGCAATTGAGTTTTCAGATGTAACAAGGCCAACCAACTCTCCTTTGAAGCCACCTGGGACTAACAAGATTGGGGCTGGAGCCTTGCAGAAGCAATCTGTCTGACCTCCATGGGCTTGAGCCAGGAGCCCACCAGAATCCCAGAGAGCAGCCTATTCAGGCTCCAAAAAGTTAAGCGACTTGCTCAAGTAAGTAACCCAACCAGGAAGGGGCACTAGCACAGCCCTCAGACCCCAGCTCCAACTCCCTTTCCAGCTCAATGAAGTCTTCCAAGCTGGAGAAAATGTTCAGCAAGTAGTTTTAAAGTCTTTTATCCATCCATACGCGAGTACTGCTACCCAGCTTTATTTAATTCCAGGCTCAAAGCACACAGAAAATAATTTTCTTTTTCCTTAAAAGGTTCTGCGGAAAGAGAAAAAAATCACTCATTCTCTGCGCCTCTGCAGCAGCCTCGGTGTGGCTGTGTTTGTGTCTGTAGAAAGGACTCGTCTGACAGGAAGAATTACAAATCTGGAGCTCGTTTTGGCATCCCAGAGGAGGTGGGCGGGGCGTCTCACAGTAAATTGGCAATTCAGAATGAAACGTAGTGTATTTGGGTTTTTTAGTGACACCTCAGAATTATTACACGGGCGTGTCCAAGACAGTTTGAAGTGATGACGATTGCTCTCCCTCAGCCTAGGGGAGCTGGTTGCTCAGTAGAGGTGTGTGGGGGGAGGGAGGGGGGAGTCTTCTTCCTTTAAGGTGTGTGGGACTCTCGAGGTCCAACCAGGTTGTGGACGGGTTAGGAGGGAAGCTTGGATCCCCACTTTGGGATTGTCCTGGAGAGGGGGAGTCTATCTGGGGAGGGGGTGTATCGAGCTCATGGTATTGGGGGTCTGAGGCTGGGATCTGAGAACTTTGGGGCTGGAGTTGGGGGACGTGGGCAAGGTTTGGGATGGACGTTGACAGCAGGAAGAAACAGGGGACGGGGGTCACCTGTCTTGGTGGGGGTGCTGGAAAGTTGAAGCGCGGCTCTGGGGAGGGCAAGTCGCAGCAGATGCCCGTCCGGACCCCAGTGTGTGGATGTGGGGTGGATGTGTTGGGGTTGTCGGGGCAGGGCTGGGAGGGGGCGGGGGGCGTGCACGTGAGGTCAAAAGTAAAAGAACAGAGCGTCCAGCGGCACCAGCCTTTTCCACCTCGCACAGCGGTGCATCCGGGGCGGGAGGCTCGGCACCGAGGCTGGCGGGACGCTACCTCCTCCCCCTCCCCCCGCCCGTGGCCGGCGGCGGAGCTGGGGCAGCTCCGTCCGCACCAGCGGTTTGGGGGCGCTGCCTGGGAGTATGAGGGCGTGGCCAGCGGCCGGAGCCAGAGGCTCCTCATTGGCTGCCAGGTTGGGCCGTGGGAGGGGTTTGCGGCTGGGTCCCGCTAGGGCGCTCGCAGGCGGTGGGAGGCGGGGCCGGAGGGAGCCGGGCAGCCAATGGGCGCGCGTCCCCCGGAGCAGTTACAAAGGGCCGGAGCCAGGCCGCCGCGGCGGCAGGGGAGGTGGGGCGAGGCGAGGCTTGCCGAGGCGTAGCGGCGGCC